TTGCAGTCTTATTTCGGTGGTGTGTCCCAGTTCATACTGGAAACATGACTTTGATCTCTGTTTTTATTCACATTTTGTATGATATCTGTGCTTAAAATATTTGATTAAATCCATTACATCTGTTGCATTTCTTTACTGATGTCATTATTCAACACTGAACAAGGCTTTGACCACATTGATGGTAAATAGTACTTCCAGATTAAAATCACATGCAGTTTATGCGATTTATGTGAGTTTTAAGAATACATAAAAAGCAACGTGTATAAGCTTTGCTTTGTTTTCTTTTGTTACTTTTTATATAGGAACAGTATGAATCCACTTTGATTTGTGCAGAAAATGAATGGATTCCTGTACAAAACATGAAAAAGAAGTGTACTGTACATACAGTATGTTCTTCATCACAGGTGACACATGGAAAATGCTTTCTCCTAAACATTCTTAATCCTTGATCATTTCCAAGTCCAGATTTTTAACATTCCATTAAGATCCTTAATACTTAAAAATAGTCTCCATATTGATGTCATGATTGCTGCATTTGTTCAAGCCCTTTCAGTCAATATGAACTTTATGTCCTTTTCAATGTCACCCTCACAAATTTAACATTTAGATTCTCTCTTATTTATAAAGTACCTTGACAAGCTAACCTCTCCATATTCAAGTGGTAGACAGTTCTGTTCAGTAAGTAGAAGGATTTCAGTATATTATTGACAGAACTGGAAAGTACGGTGTAATGTTGATTGGACCAATCATATTAGCTTGTGTTCGTATCAGACATGCATTACCATTTGTATCTGGTTCATCTTCATGTGCAGGGCCAAAGAACCAGACAGAAACATGTTTGTCTCCAGTCTGTGACTATTTTGTCTAAGCGGTATTATTTCTGTATCAGAGGCAGATAATTAGGTGAATGTTGAGATTGATTTACAGCAATTACAAACGGCTTTGGTTGTAATAGATGATAAAATCCTTGCTAAAAATGCTTCATCAATTAATTTCTTGTACAGTGTCACAAATCATTTTGAGACTATTATTAGTATTCCAGTGTATAAAGGGAAGCAAGCCTTTATCTGCTACCTAAGTAACAGGCTTGTTTTAATACTATCGAAATATGTTTATGGCGTGTGAAAAAGGACTTTCGTGGCTGTTCATCAATTTTAATACACTGTATTTACTTTGTTAATTGGTTCATTATTTTTTCCCCCAAAAAAAAAATTAATTCCAACTTTAGCATTTCACCCTTTTTTGTTCAAAATGTATTTGGCAAATGTTTAACTTCAGTGGTTTACATAAGATCTGTATTTCTAGTTTTGAAAGGGAAATTTCTACAATGGGTTACCTTCATACTAATCAGCTTTATAAATATTTCTATTGTTCATCCATCCATCTCGAACTCTTCTTGGAATTCAGGTTCATGGTGGGGGGGGAGACTAGAGTTTATCTCAGCAAGCAGCAGGCACAAGGCACGATACACACAGCCACAAACACACACACTCCTAGGGCCATTTGTTTTTTCAGAAGCCAATTAACCTCCCAGGCAGTGGGGGAAAACTGGAGCACCCGAAGGAAATGCATGCAAACATAGGAAAACCATGCAAACTCTACACAGTTAGTATCCCAGGGCCCCAGCACTGTGAGGTAGCAATTCTCACCATTGCACCTGGTTCTGTTGTAAAGTGGCAAAAAATTTATTTTGTTCCAAACTTGTTTTAAAGGGGGAAAAAAAGTCTTGATGAAATTGTTGGGTTTTGATAGGAGATATGGGCTTCTAGGATCTTTACAGCAAAACTATGGATTTAATTAGGTTCTGTTTGTTTTACATTAAGTTGTCTTTCGGGATAAATATATACATTTAGATTTCTTTATTCATCTACACTGAATGGGTTTTTAGAAATTCCTGGTTTACAAAGGAAATTAATTCCCTGTGCATGTCAAATCAAATATAGAAAAATATTCTATTTCTATGTAGTGTTTCTAATGGGCATTAGACATGCTTATTGTAGTAGTTTGTATCAGGATTAACAGACACTGAGATTCAGTTGACACAAAAATTCTGTTAACCTCACACCATCTGAATTAAGCCTGTAAAATGTACAGTAGTCCTAGCCAATTTTTATGGTATTTCTAACCCTAATAGTAACAACGATCTAAACCTAGAGTCATGCTCTGCTAAAACTAGGTTGAGTAATCATACAAAATATTAAATTAGCTAACACATTCTACAAAAATGTATTATTTCTAACATTTTAACTTATATCTACATTAGTTCAGGTGGGTAGCTGCGTCAGCATGCGTAGGCTGCAAAGGAACAAGTAATAGGTTTATTCCATGCTGAAAAAAAGGAAGGCTCCACGGCCGAAACGTTGTTTTCTTTGTTCCTTTTTTTCAGCATGACACACCTGAAGAAGTCTCCACAGCCGAAATGTTGTGTTTTGTTTCTTCCTTTTTTTCAGCATGGAATAAACCTATTATTGTTCCTTTATATCTACTGTACATATCTTTTCCACTTAAAAAGCATTGCTCCCTGTTTAAAGTAGTTACAAATTAACCCTTGCGTTCCTGGTAGGTTTGAAGTAGAGTTACTGTAGGGTTGGGTTAGACTTCCCTTTTAAAGTCATGAGATGAAAGGTATAGTACAAGTGGTGCTGTGGCCTTAATAAATGTTTTGCAGTCTGTGAATAAAGATTCACATTGATCGGCCAGTAAATAGGGCTACAGCTGTATTTGTCATGACATAAGAAGGTGTAAGGTGAGAGTCATGGCTTCTCTAGGGTGCCAATTATGGTGAACCGCTTGTGGACAGTTTAAGTAATGATTTATTGAGTACAGTATGTAGTTTTTTCAGCAAGAAAAATAAGAGAAAATTTGGGGACTCACCATTTATGTTCAGGCATTGTGGCATAGGATGACCAGGACTATAGGATAGTAATGACTGCTTATTTTTAGTTTTTCAGTTGGAGTCAATAATGTTGTAAAGACAAATTAACATTACTTTTAAAGTTTGTCCCTGAGAAAGAGTAACACAAAGTCTGTAAAAATGTTGGCTTTTATATATATATATTACATATACAAAATACAAATACAATTATGTACTAAAATGTACACACCCCTATTTTTCCATCAGTGTTTACATTCAGAAAAACGAAGTCACACTGTAATAATTCATTTTGGAAAAAAGTAGCCTTGCTTACTTAGAAATGTAAACATAGATCCGGGTCCATATCTACAAAAGAACAAGCTGCTGACCACTTTAACAAAGAAAGCAGTGTACCTGTTGAATGCATAAAGTAAGCAATTAAATGGCATTCTGAAAATGATTTTCTCCAGTTTTTTCTATGTCTAAAAGCCTCTGTGTTGAATTAAAAAATACGATTCACAGCTGCGTGCAAAGGCCTACAGACTGATAAACAGGCACAAGGAAACATGATACATTACAGATTATCTGTCTGTTGCAGATCATTTGCACACATTAAGGGCTAAGAAGCATCGTCAAGAGCAAATACGGATCATCTAGACATCTGATTCATCTCTTTCTGAGAAAATGCAATTCAGTCAATTCAGAAAATCACTCATTAAGCAGTTTGTGAAGAACACAGTCAAGGAAGACATAATCAAGTTTTTTCTTAATGCAATCACTATAAATAAAGTGTGACAGGAATTGTGAATGAGCACTGAAGTCTTAATTTTGTGCTCTGCAAGTAAGATTTCCAAAGATACAATATTCGTTACTGACAATCTGAAAGGCAGCACTTACTACATTTTGCATGAAAAGAACAGCCTGTCCAAGGTACAGTAATTTGAATTCCATTGCATAATACTTGTGATTAGTATTTGATGTCTTGTTCCCTGTTGTTTTGGTGTGTGTTACTAAAACCATGCTACTCTCTTTGGATTACACATATCTGTGAAATACATCTGCTTTTAAACCAAAAATAATGTAGTGAACAGATTTTTAAAAATGCTCTTCCATTGTCTCCTCTGCATAAAGGCTTTATTTTACTTTTGTTTTTTTTAAGACAAAAAATTATATTTATAGTAATGCTTTAGTTAAGGAGTAACCTGTTAGGCATGTATTAGCACAAAATTACTTAAGTTCCCAGTCCATGCCTAAAACATGTCTTCTTAGGGAAACTGGTTGGGTATGAGCTATTATTGACAATGTACAATCAGTACCTAGCTAGTGTGGTCCTTCATGTGTATTCAAGTCACTCATCAAGACTTTAACACATGGCCTTAATGGTTACCCTTATAATCAAGTATTCAAAAAGTTACTGTAACTGGAAATACTAAAAATAAGTAGATGTTCTGGTATCATTCAATGTTGTGTTTACGATGCTTGGAAATCATAAGGAATCCAGTGGTTTATGGCATCAATCACAGAACACGAAATGTGAATTCGTAATCATATCAGTCCTTCTGAAGGATCTGTAAGTCTTATGTGTAACAATATCTGTATGGATGATGAATATATTTTTTATCTAAGCATAACTATTTAAAATATCCAATAAATCATGTGCTGCAAGGTTGTCAAAACAGGTTCTGTGTTTAACACGCAGACTTGGTATTATATACATACCATAGATTTCAAAAGACTTCTTAAAATATTTCCAATCAAGGTACTTTTCTACTTTTCTAAAATCTTCATCATTGGGATAGGAGTTGCCATTAAGGTAAATTGCTTAGTCTTGGCAGTTTTTTTATTAATTAATGATTCCCAATAAACTTTTTAGAACCTTGTGATTGGACTTTGAAAAAAATAAATGTTTTCTTGACCATCCAACACTTTTCTACTGATCTCACAATGAACTAAATCTTGACCATAATCAATGAATTTTGAAGTACTGTGCACCATAGACTGAAAACTATTAACAGGACTTGCAGTGTGAATTTATGTGCAATTTACCTTTAGCAGTAAAAGCTATGACTTTTTCTATTTGTAATTAGCCTATATCATCTTCAAGACTGATTTGGGTTCTCCACAATATTTGACAAAACAAATTCAACTAGAAATATTACATTTATGAAAATAAAACAGCTTTGTAAATCATTTACAAAAACACCGCTGTGCCATTCAAACTTCAGAGAACTGAACTGTTCTGAGCTGGGAAAACGGGATCTTTGGTCTAGTACCAAAAAACAGTTTATGATGCTATCACACATTTGTGAGCTAGAAATGTCTTTTTGTACATATAATGACACCACAATCTGTGCTTTGGGGAATCTTTTTTTTTCTTAATTTGAACTTAAGAATTCTATTTTCTATCCCAGAGAATTCTTTGAACTTATTAATAGCACAAGACTTAAAAACGTTTTCAAAGAGATCCATTGTTCAGTTCACAAATCCTTCCCAGCTATAGCTTATTGATGAGCATGGATGTATCACTTCACAATTCCCCATGACATATCTTTTTAATCCACACATCTTGAGCTTCAAAATTCTGTAGAGATCTGACTGGAGGCTGAAGTCAACGATACTCATGCTCAGGGTTTATTATATTAACTTATATTGTCTGTGTAGTGCTAGTTTCCTGTGGGCTTAAGAAGAAACGCAATCCAAAAGTAAGACACCCAAACCATGAATTTCCTTCAGCCAGTGTTTCGGGCTCTTCTTGTATGGCACTTTAAGCAAGGCAGTTTGCTCCACTGTCAATCATTTACTCCTCTGGCTGGTAAGGTTATGCTCCATGGAACACAGCCTTTCTTCTGTTTAAATGATCTTTGAAGAATCTCTTTTGCTGATGAGAACCTCCAGGAGCCTTAATTTTGCTTTAACATGCTTATATTCATTATATTCCTCAGCCATAGGTGTGCGATCTTCTTTTTGCACGTTTCTGGAAAAGGCAACAGACATAAAAAGTGATGATTGATGCCCTGATTACACAAACATTAAACATAGATAGCTGCGCTGAAAAGACAGAATAACTAATGAGAGACTTTAGGCCGCATCTTAACTTTCTACAGATTAGAGCAACTTTACAGCGCAGGAGAAACATTCACTGATCCGGCTCTATTCAGTTAATAACATTAGAGAATTTATTGAAACTTAAATTAGTCCTTTTTCTGTGACAATTTTTGAAGCTAGTTTATGCAGAAAAACTGACTCAGCTGCATCTGATTGGGTGACTAAAATGAGATTCTGTCACCTTACTGAAAAAGTTATCAATGTGTGCGTTTTCTGCATTAATAACTCAAATTAATAACTCATTAAAGGTTAATGAGATAAATTACTTTTCAGATTACAAAGATGGTTGAATTATTGAATTGTTTATTTTATGTAGTAGAAGTCATGAAGACTACAGCTAAAACACAACAATATATTACAAACATCGCAAGTGTCACAATGCACAATTATTAAAAAATAGACTAAAATACAAACAATGAAAATGAAAAAAGGCTGAATATGCTTTTTAAACTAGTGGTTTGTAAATCTACCCTACAGTACATCAAATAAGCATTGGGAATGAAAAATCTTCTTTGGCTAAAAGATAAATAACATATTCAACAAATGTTACTAGTTGTTTTGCTGCAAAGTATCACTGCTGCAATTTCAAGTTCTGTTGGAACTTACCTTCCATTTTGCCTGAAAAATTTGTCTTCAAATTCCCTCAGTTTCTTGCGGATTCTCTTCTTATCTTCCCTTGCTTCCTGAAGCTGCTCTACCAGTTCAGGCCTAGTTTAAAAAAAAAAAATGCTTTTTAGATCGAATCTCACGTAGAAATCTGAAAATCACTGAGCATTTGTGATTCATAGGTTATGGGTGATGTACTTAGGGGTTCATCAACAAGTAATGGAAAATGTTTTAAAAATGTAGAAAGCAAACTTTACATGAGGGTGACGTGAGATGAGGCATATTGTATGATGCTTACATCAGTGTAAGCAACTATAATCTTACAGTAGAGCACATCCATTAAAAACTGAACATATTTTCATAAACTATTTATTACTTCAGGCTATGTGTACACAACACTCCAGTAGGACCTCATAAGTCTTAAACATATTCTGTACCCTGTTCGTATTCTCAAACCAGTACTGCAGAATGCAGAGCATTGTAGAATCTATTCTCTTACATGGTAGCAGAGTGAAGGTTGGATAGCCTCATATCCATGTTATTCTTGGATGGTGATATTTCATCCACGGGGGAGATAAAACCATCCACCTCCTCGTCCAGCTGGTCCAAGAAGCTGCGCACGTTGAACTCAGGCTTCATGGTCACAGTGAAGTTAGCTTTTGTGTTGCTCTCATCCTCTGAGCCATCTTCTTCCTCCTGAAAGAAAGGAAACCCACATTTTAAGCTGGCTAGTCTTCTTCTCCCAAAGAAGACAGGGAGAGGTGCTCCTGCACACACATTAGTAGAAGCTCCACCACAACCATGGTTAGCTTTCCAAGCGCATTCAGCCAGACAGGCCCAAGAGAGATGAGCTAGAGAGGCAATGCAGACAACAGAACCAAGCTCTTTGTTACCCAAAATTAAAATAGCAAGTTTGGACCTGGAACTAAGAACTGAAACCTATCCAGAGAAAACAGCAAAGTTAATTGACAGGCTGTATTCCTTGATAGGTACTGTATATAATAAAAAATCTATTTTAACCGAGAGAGCTCACTAGGATGTTCGAACGGAATGGTAGAAGTATTTGTCTGTCTGTAGTATGTTGATGTGGCTTTCAGAAGGCACATTCCAAGCACCTGATATTTGTTTGACCAAAAATTTGTTTGACCAAAAACAAATAGAACAAATTTGTGTACTTTTCCTTGGCTTTCTGAGGAGGTAGGGAATGCCATAATTCATACTTTCTATCTATGTATGTACTGTAGTTCACCGGCAGACATACTTATACTTACTATTCACACCTACTGTACAACACCCATTCTGTCTTTGAACATGTGTGAAAACAAGTCAAAGTTTCCCTTTAATGATCCTCGGGTGCTTGTTTTTTTTCTGAAATATCCATCCATCTTCTACCACTATATCCAATGCAGGGTCATGGGGGAGCCGGAGCTTATCCCAGCAAGCAACGGGCACAAGTCAGGATACACCCTTGATGCGACGCCAGTCCATCACAAGTGTACACACAGACACACACACTCACTCACACCAGGGCCAATTTTACATAAGCCAATTAACCTATGTCTTTGGGAACACAAACATGGAAAGAACATACAGTACAAACTGCAGGCAGATTGCACAGAATCAAACCCAGGACCCCAGCACTGTGAGGCAGTAATCCTAACCCCTGTGCAGTCCCCTTTTCTGACATATTCCTTTCATAATACATATTTTGGTCTGCTAATGTAAAAAAAATGTTTCAAGACTTAGCACAATTAACTATTCATAAACCAATCAAATACTGAGATACTTTCGAAATTTCATACACTTTGTACTTATCAGGCGGCAGACTTTTTTAGTTCACTGTTTATACATAACATGTCAATAACAGACAGACTGGCAGAGACACCATGATACATTTTTTCATCTCCATTTACTGTAAATGTCTGCTGAAGTTTCCAAAGGGATGCTACTATGCAGCACTGCAAAGGCCATACTAGGAACATACTAGGACATAAAGTACAAGATTCATAATGAAGAAGGTTATTTCATGCAAGCTCACATCCACTATTTACATTTATTTCCATGTTTTCAAATGAAACACCAACAGCTGACAGGAAATTACATGCTGGGATGATGCCTTTCAACACCTTGGGAAGCTCAAAAATCTGTACGTTCAATCGGGACAGTCACAGCACACTAAAAGGGTCTACAATCAAGCGTCTACTGATTTGATACATTTGATAAACACGTGAAAATAAAAATCAACAGCTTGCAATCAGAGGAAATCAGCAAGGTCTGCTACAATCACTGATTAATTTAGCAGCGGCTCTTCACCTTGATGTCCTCGAAGAACAATGCTGGTTCGCCTTCGATAATTGGCTGTAGCAAAGGACCTCTGCGCTTGCTGGAAGGGGAGCCCTGTGATAGGTGTTAACAAGGATGTTACGATCCAGAGCCCTGATATTATGTATAATTATTTCCCTGTTCCAAGAGGAAAGTGGTTGGTTGGAAAAAGATGTGTTGTAGGGGGAGCTAGACTGTGCTGTAGACTTTATTCTTCTACATAACAGCATGCTTCTCCCAAATACTGCATTGGGCTCAACTGTATTCCAAGCGTTTCCTTTAGGACAATTTGCATATGAATGACACATTTCTGTTTTGCACTGAATTTTTGAAAACTGAAATCACTCCTTCACGGTCAGTGAATAAATTGTTTCTACAACTACTTTGGAGCACTTTTTAAGAGCTGACACCTCACTGATCCACTGCTGGGGATCTAACATTTGTGCTTCGAGAGATTACAGTTATAGATGTCCCTTTGTAGGCGTGATGTAATGAAGGGCCTGTTATTATAGGTGGTGAATGTTGTGAAAAAAGGATTTAAGGAAAACTGACAACAATATTAACATGTAAGAGATATTATGGAGCAATAAACTTTATTCAGTGAAGTGTATAGAAATGACAACAGCTAAACTAACAAACTCCTCATTAGGTGTCATCTTGCTGTCTATATCCAGTTCTTTGGGAAGTACACTATTATGTTCATTAGAATTGGTTGCATCCTGAGTGAAGCCTGAAACTGAAAACACAGAAACTTCTCTGGGCTTGAGTTTACTGCTGTGATGAGAGACGTGGCAGGGCTGTCTAGCAGAAAAGGGGATTTATTGATTCAGTTCTCCTAAAACCTGTGGATTGTTACATTTATTAAACAGTGCATAGTTATAAAGTGATAGGCAACTATTTTCAATAGGCATTGAAAACGTTGTGCTCTAAACATGAAACCAAACTAAAAAAAAGGTAACTTACAATGACTGGTATGGTTGATGCTCTGCAAAGGATCTGCTTGACCAGACGGTATCTATCATAGAGAGGCTTCATAACCTGTCTCTCACTCTTTGTAACCTTAAATGAAAGGGAAAAAATCTTTTTAGTTCACCACATTTTCCCCTGCTTCATATTCTAAAAGCTCCAACCCAAATCATTCAGTGACCCAGATTTGTAACATCTGACATCACTGTTGTCGCTTTCATTTTGAATGTCTGAGCTCTCCAATTTGTTCACAGGCCCATGTAATCTTTCAGCGGGCTTTCAGTGACAATCTATTCCCTTTTCATTGAGAGCCATGTCTGACATTTTTGGCAGGTTTCCACTTGTTAAACTGAGCAAGCCTTTAAATAAACACTAGATATCTCTCTCTAGCATTACAATGCTCAACATAGCTGCTTCATTAAAAAAAACAACATAGACACAGGTACCAAAATATAAAATCCTGAATTTCATCTAATAGCCACATTCGAGAGCATACATGCTCCATGTTGTGTAACATACATACACTATGGGACATGCAGAACTTAATTCCATGCTGAAAAATAAAATGAAAACAGAAGTATACCTGACCTGGTAAAAAAAAAAAAAAAAACAGAAAAGGCTCAACAGAACCAAACTTTTTGTTGTTTCTTCTGTATTCTTTTTATTTTTCCCGTGCGGGCTTAACCTTTACTTGTTCCTTTGTAGCTACAGCCAGATGCCGCTCCCCATACTAACCCCCACACATACTGTACAGAGTGTACAGTATTTCTACAATAGCTGGGCCTGTTTATAAAGCTAATAATAACAGGTATGACAAAACCTAATGGGATTTGTATGAGATATTTTCAAAATAAGTCCATAAAATATGCAGTCCAGGAACATCACTAACATGTTCACTGTACATGCAATACATTCCACTAGACAACATTGACTATTGCTGGATTATATGTGTAGCGGTAAGAGTTAATGCCCTGGATTTTTATACTTAGTGTGCTCATAGGGTTTATGACATTATCAGCTCTCTGCAATCTAGGTCAACTCTTCAGGTACATGATTTTAATCCATCTCTGAGATGCAATAATTTGATTAAACACTACTGAATGTTTCAACTGGCCTCCCCCCCAGAAACATGTCACAGAAAAGACTCAGAGCAGTGGCTATACTGTACGTACCGGTCTCCCATGAATGCTCTCATAGTACAGCAAAGCTTTCTGTAGAGCAACCTTCTCTGCACTGATCTGCTCTCGGGTCATGTCCTGTCAAACAAGAGAACATTACAAGTTGTGAAACATTTGATAAAGCACTCAGACAAAGCATGTGTAAACAATGCCCGTAAATTGTCTTTGGATTAGTAGTATAATCAGGCAGCAGTGTGGAATAGTGGTTAGGGTTGTGAGTTGTCCTCCTGAGCAAGGTACTGCTATCACATAGTATCTGTAGAATGCCCAACTGTAACATAGTTAACTAAATAAAAGAATATGATTACATTTTCATTCTCCTGAGAAATGAACATACTGTACCATTATTATTATTATTATTACAACTTCCTTTAAAGCTGCAAGAGTAGCTGCAGTAATGTCTTGAAAAATTAAGAGAAAACCACTTTGTACAAGAACATTTTGATTCAAAACAGCAAATAAGTATTGCTTTGGTCATTGGTGGATATTGACTAGCAATATCAACTAGAACAATGCATAACATATTTGAAATACTGATATACATTTCAGAAATGCTTTCAAAATCTTTCAAAAAGTCTTACAATGCTTTTTAAAACATCTAAGAAAAGATTCACAACTATACACGAAATATATTCTGATAAAGAAATACATGGAAATGCAGAAGAGCAGGCAAAAAATAGTCTTAATTTTTACTTTAAATTTACACATTTTAGTAACAAACGTGCCTTCAAGAAATGAAATGAAGTACACTGTAAAAAAGATCAATAATTTTAAACAATGTAATGCCTAATAAAATAAACACTGTATACAAAACAGCTCACACCTGAAGAAGGCTCCACGGCCGAAACGTTGTATTCTCTTTCTTCTTTTTTTCAGCATGGAATAAACTTATAACTTGTTCCTTTACTGTATACAAAATGTCTGCTTCTTAAAGATGAATAATAATTTTAGATTGCACAATCTGATTACAGAACCTATCCTATCATGTAAAATATCTTTAAAACAATTTTGTTTCTGCTGGACGTTGACTTGCACACACACAATCACGCGTCTCATATGTTGAGCTAGGAAATGTCAAACTTCATGAGAATGACCACTATACCTTGATATCCTCGGGGCGACTGACCTCTGCCCGCTTCTCCTGCAGTTTCTTCAGCACGGACTCCAGGGTGGCCTCCACAGGGGGCTTGGGTAACTTCTCCACAGTCGGCTCCTTCTCCAGCTGGGAGCCAAAGCTCTTGGGCAGGGTGTTGCTGCGCTGGCGGGTCACAGGGGGCATGTCTTCCTCGGACATCTTCAACTTTAACTCTGCACCAGGTCCAAATAGACATGTTTAATTGCTAACTCCATAGCTGATGACAAAATGACAGCACAACTAAATTGCATTTAAGCCTACTGGCATGACTGCCTTTGTATTAAAGGATTCTCTAACAAACCAGCGTCTTATTACTGTACCTTTTTTTGGCCTCCTGGTCTGTACTGGTCATAAAGCATTTTGAGGGCCATAAAGAAAATGTTCCTGCTCAAAAATTGTTTGGCCAATTAACTCTAAACTTTATACGTATAATTCTAGCATCTCTCCCATTTGGTAGTCAGTTGGTTGGGCCCATTAATTCTAAACGTGGTGAGTATCCCACTATTGGTACAGTAAGTATCCCAAAGTGCAGTATTCTGTAATTTCCCTCATGGGATCAATAGAGTATCTATCTATCCTAGTGTGCACACCATTAACATCAGTCCATATGCAGGAATGACAAAATGTTGGTCTTTCCTGCAAATCACAATAAAGATGCATGCCTGTCATGTTGTTCTCATTGTTCAAAATGCCCTTGTCTTGGGAACTGCTTCACCAATTCTACTGATTTTGGCAGATTTCATTAATAAGCATTAACAAGCTGCTTCTCATTGCATCTCACGAGTTGCGGCAATAGTTCTCCCACCCACGGGCGGTCACAGCCATGTTTTTGCATAATTCAAACTAGCATAGACAGGAAGAACTAAGCTGACGGACTTGAAACTTGGCTGATTTCCTCATCACCTGTTTGGCAATGTGCACTACCCCTATAATTAGCAATAGTTAGCTGGTCTTCTTTAACGATGGTTTAACTAGCTAACTCTGAATTTGGTGAATATCATTCCAATGGCAATGCAACCACAACACAGCAACATAGAGTTTTTGCATACAATAGGATTCCTGCTGGAGAGGTCATTTGTTTTGTCATCTGTATCAATCCTGTACCTACTCAACAAATTATGTTTCTATCAATTAATTTAAAAAGATCACAGATACCATTCTGTAGACCAACATAATTAACATACGTTCAAGTGTTTGTGGTTTCAGCCCAATCACTACATTATTCAAATTCAATCTCCTCTTATGAACCACAGCACGGATGGACATGAAACTCCAGGTTTCATCAATACTCAGACCTGCACCTTGTACTTTTTATGCCTACACTAGGTCATCACCTGCTGTACAAAACACAGCCAATAATACAAAAAGTTTTAGCATCAGAAAATAGTAAACAGGGACAAGCTTGTCCACTTATTAGTGTTTTAAGGTTATGCTAGCTGCCCTGAAATCTCTGCGGTCTTGACTTTCCTTCCAAAGTGCCTCAACTTACCTTTTAGCTCTTTCCGTAACTTGGCAAGTTCATTCATCCATCGAAGCACCTCAGGGTTAGCTGCCTTGTCACTGTGAGAGGGCTGAGGGAAAACAAATATGACAGCTCTCGTGTTCAAAGGAACAGAAATGCAGCAAATATTGGATGTGTAACTAGGAATGTATTTTAAACAGTTTAGTAGATGTTAACTGTACAGAAATATTTACACCAGATTTTGAAATATTTTCATTCCCTTGCCGATGTAAGGAAAGTATTTTCATGAAAAACAAAATGAATGATTCAGAAAACACATTATCTAAATTTACTGATTTTCAGTCGGGATCATTAAGGTGACTGCCTTTACTGATCAGTCACCATCAGTCTCTTATGGGTTTCCTCAACTCACCCTGTACTTCTTCTCCTCCTCAAACTTCTCCTCATACTTGTGAATCTTCTTCTTTAAGCTGTGGATCTTCTTGGACAACTGCGCGGACGTTAGCTCCTCTCGGTCCTCCTCACAAGAGCCAAGTGAAGAGCTTCGCCGACGGCTGGAATTGGGAAAACAAACAGTAAGGCTACAAATAGCTGTTCCTTAATAAAGGCAAGGTACAGTCAGCTGTATGTGCAAGGGGACAAAACAAAATTAATTTATAGGCTTTCTGTGTCACAACTACAAAACAGAGATTGCCTTATTTTTCTGTTTATTTTTCTATCTGTACCTGACTTATCACGTGTGACTCATGATGTGATCAAGTGTCAGGAATTCCAGACTCAATACACACATAACAACATCCATTAGACACAGGAAACTACCAGCGTAGGTTATCCTATAGCACAAAATGTTATTCAGAAACCCTAGATTTAAAGGAGACCTGAAGTCCCAATTTCTCAGACATGTTATTAAATCTCAGTAACAAAATAAATTCAGTGACAGTATAGAAATTGGAATTAAACATAAAATTGTGAACTTTGTGAAAGTACTGTAAGTTATCATGTTGTTACAAACTCGCATTGAGTTCCCACAAATTGTGACATGAAGTGGCCCTTCCTGCTCACTAGTCTCTATAATAATGTGATGTAATGTGATGTGTGAGTGAATAAGTACAGGATGTGTAGCAGACATTTCACTGCAGAAATGTTCCCACGTGATCTGCTTGCAGAGTTAACAAGTATGTTGTTGGCAAAACTGTCTAAAACTCAAGAGCAATATTTCTATTGGATTAGAAGATAAGTATTCACATGCCTGCTTGTTTACAATGTAATAAGGCCACTTCACATCACCTGAAGTTTTGTTGCCTCGTTCTGAATCGCACAACATGGTGCTGCGCATACCTTGAAATTAAATTAATTTTGAGATGTAATTTGGAGGTTTTACAAGTTACTGTGGCTCCATTTTATGTAGGTTACATTTTAGTTTTATCGTGGTTTGAAATGCACTCATCAATGCCAGTTCTTTCTAACCCCGACTTATAAAAATAGCCCTGCAATTCCCCTTTAACAGCACCAAAGTCTAGAGCCCGGAGTGATGAGGCTCTCAGCCTCACCTCATGAAGGAATGAGCGTTGGGCGGGGAGGGGGGGACCTCGGTGTCATCCAGGTACTGCTGGCTTTGCCCGAAGGCGTAGAAGCGGGGTGAGACCATGGGGTCGCTGTCTTCTTCCAGCAGCTGCCGGATGAGTCGGCCCCCCGCCTGAGGGGAGAGACGGGCCTCGTCCCCATCCGTGTCCTCTGTGTGCCACGCTGAATAGGCCGGGATGGGCTCTGTAAAGCAAAGATTCTTGTGTCAAGCACAGCGCAGGCAATGCTCTCCAGTTAATAAAACAGACGACATTACACAATTCTCATGGCAAATGCTTTAACCTAGCATGCAAGACCTTGATTTTTTGTTGCTGACTAAATATTCTTTTTTTTCTGCTAAAATTTGCGCAAATGCTAGGAAATTATTAAAAATTAGAATTGCTTTAGAATTAAAATACATTTCAGGACATGTCAGTCATTAAATTTGATAGTCATTGACAAATTGATTTTGAGTTACTTAATGGTAGTTCACTGGGCAAACGAATCTCTCTCTAAATTGTTATCGACTCATGTTTTGTGGACTCTAGAACTGTTGTAGCATTGCATTATGCAAATTGGAATGTTTAGGGTCGTATTCAGAAACAACACACAAGAAACACTGAAAAAATATTGCTTTACATGTTCAGTTTAACCAGTGTCGGAATTCCTGGAGAAAGTAAAATTTTAAAGTTAAAAGATTATCAATCTAAAAATCATGCATATATATTGTCCAGACCTTGTATGGATATTCATCTAGTGCTATATTTATTTCTTTGTAATCTTTTACATTGAAATTGAACTTTACATTGAAAAAACAAACTACTTATTTTTTATTTACAAAATTTCTGTCAGAATAGTTGTATTAGCAAATCAAGGTTAAATAAAACTCTAGGTTAACGTGTCTGAAAGTTTGTTGAGTGCTTTTGTCTGAAGGTGTGAATTTACTAAGATACCTCAATGCTTTCATTCTGATTTGCTGTGCAAAATGGACTCATCCTGTTTGATGGTTTATAGTCTTAGAAGAAATCAATGTCAGTAGGTTAGAATTGATTGAGCAGATTTATTTATGGATCTAAAGAAGTAAACATGCCACCCATTTAAAAGAATTAGAGAATGGAAGCACAACCAGTGAAGGAAAAGACAGTGAAAGAAATAAACAAATGCAGTGTTTTGGCTCTAAATATGTACTATTCAGCAGGGAATTAACCTCTGCTTGTCCCGTTATAGCTTTCATGCTGATGTAGTGTCTCCACAAACAGTGCATAAGGCTCTTTTTTATTTTCACAAAATGAGCCAAAGATCAGCATTTAAAAAAGAGAACAGGAGGAACTTCTATTCACAAAAGAAACCGCGTGAATCTAGAACAAGCTGTTTAGCCGTGTTGTTGTAGCTGATATCCTGGCTTCTTTTAAGAAATGGTCGCACAGGATCCTCAGATCAATGAGCTACTAGCAGCTGAATGGGCTAGGCTGGCTGAATGGTCTCCTCTCCTGTGCAGGTTTTCATATGTACACATTACAGTCTATAATCAATTAGGATAATATTTCCAAATATACTTTTAAGAAATATAAAACTATAACCTTTTAATTATTTTATGGATGATGGGTTTCACAAAAATAATAGGTTTTAACCTTACAAAATATATTTCTATGTGTATACCTTGGTATAACGTGTTAAAAGAAACACTCAACTACCGTAAACACTGCCTTTTACTTGAAATATTTGCAGTGACTATAAAACTACAGTAGTAATTAATTGAACACTGGATACTTTGGAGAAAGAGCATATTACTGAACTTTCCTGGTCTGAAAGTGAAATGTTGCTTACACTGTTGTCTAATACCTTACACAGTGTGCTCAAAATCACATATTATGTACTGTATAAAGAATAATATAGTGTATATTATATATTATTGTATATTAACTGATCATACAGTAGGTGAGTCGCCACAGTTAATATACTGTATAAAATCTGCATGCCTATCTTCACAAAGCTAGAGGAAATAATTTAATTTAAAAAAGACATGCCCTCATCACATTATGCCTGAATATTAATTGTATATTTTAAGAATGAATTTGAATGTCATATAAATATACAGTTAAGAAATCTCTAAATAAAGAGGGGATGTTTCAAAATCACAAACTGGTATTTCAAATTGTATAATTTACAGAAGAATTCTGGCAAGCATTATGATTAATCAAAATAAGTTACTGTAGTTATTTTAGTTAGTCTATTCTTCACAGACATGGACCTTCATATAAAGGTTTTTTTTTTTAAAACAGATGTTACATAAGATACATTCTATCATCCATACAGAAAAGATGCCAAGCTTTGACAAACCTAAATCAAGCTTCTATCTACAGTTTATGGTTATGGGCAAAAGTATATTAAATCATACATTTAATGAACTTACTGTACTATATTTACTATTCTATAAACACTTTAGACAGGTATTTTTAAAATTTAGCTTTACTTATTTCAAAACTGCATATGATACTTGCACAGTAATAACTGGAAAGACTGATGCACTGTATAGGCAGAAGAAGTAGGAACCACACTTTGATCATTTCTCCACTTAAAGCTTGAGAAATATACCTGATGGGGTTTGTAGGCATGTCTACACATGCCCCAGCAAATAAGGAAGAAGGAGGTGTCGCTGTTTATTACTTCAAGGGCACAGGGGATAAAGGTTTTTATCCATTAAGGGCATCTTTCCCCAGCGTTTATCTCTGAGACACTTACCCTCACAGTAATTCTGTTGCCAAGTGCTTTTGAAATCAATGAAAGGGACAGTAAAAAAAGATGAATCTAACAAGAAAAGAAATGGAAAAAACACACATGAGAAGGACTGAGACAAAAAAAGAATCCATTGTCACAATCCCACAGGATTGGCACTACAGTAGCTTGTGTACAACAAGAAAACAATAATAAAACAAATGGATACACATATATGCATCCTAATAAGTTTGATTTATTAATAGTTAAAGAAACACATAATAACTATAAATAATAAATATATTTAAGATCTAATTTCTCTATGTACCCCCGTCCCCCAACAAGGATTCAAATACTACGTACAACTCTGTAGCCAGACAGGATCAAGAAATTAGGACTTGCAGTGACGCAAGATATTAAGAAGCCTCCCTCTAACATTCCTGCAGCTCCACAGTATAACTGACACGTCAGCAATATGTATAAATACCAGCTGTTGTGTTTCTCCCCATCATATGTCAAACACACAAAACTTTCCTCATGCAGACCCAAAATCCAGTATTTTGTGTCCTCAGGTCACAGTAAAAACCTTTTGCCACTTAGTCAGATGTGGTCTTGAAGGACAAAGTCTTGAAATTTGAACCTTGAGTTCATTGTTTCTCTAATATCCATAAACAAAGCTCTGTCATTTATTTATTCCTGTTTTTCCAGTTTGAAATATACAGTTTTATTTTTATGGTTTCCTCAATTAGAATGTTCTCAAAGGTTAGAGTATGCAAAGTACTTATTTGAATTTTATTTTTCAAAACATGGTACAGATAGATGAAAGCAGTTAGCTTATGCCAGTTTCTAATGGAAAGGACAGAAAAATAAATTTAAAGTACACTAAAGTTAAAATGAACTAACTGGGCTCAGTACCTAAATCGATTGTAATACAAATTAATGTATGTAATAATTATTTATGACATAAAAGTTCTTCCTTTTTTAATTAGAATATTTCATTATTTCTGTTTATACTCTAACCCCTAAAAATTTTGATGAGCCACAATCACATAAACATAATAAGAAGTCAACAAACTACAGTGTAATTACATGTGGAAATCCCTACAAGGACCGCCAGCTGAATAAAGTGTAAAAACTAAAATTCCCATAGCGAGAAATGAGATTTTGTACAATCTGCAAAGACTTTTAAGGGCAAATGAACCACATATCATTCGCAAACACTTTTCAGTTCTTGATAAGACAAGGGAAAGCGGTCTTTAGACAATTTCATTTCATTCTAATTCATGTAATTACTGACTGACAGTGGGTCATATGGCTTTCGAGATGTTTGAGGCAAAGTTCCTCAGCCTCGTCTCTGCCACACTCTCCCTGACTGAGGAGATTCTTGTTTGTTTCTCCATGCTTCCCCTGCTGGGACAGGAATTGTCTGGAACAACCCTGATCTCACCCACCACCTGCCACTGTCCCCTCCTCCCACAGAGCAGACACTAGCCGCATGTCCAGCTACTACAGCCAAACCACAGCTTACTGGAACTCCATGGATGAACAACAGGCATATGCACATACTGTATAAGGGACTTCTCTTCTCAACAAAAACCAGATAATAACTGTTTTTTTTTCTCTGGTGCACAAAAGATGTTTCTCTCAATCTTTAATGGCAACAACACAATATAAAATTATAAGTTGTTATATTGCAGTGTGCGATGTTTAACTGAAAAGAAGAGATTTTCACTTATTACATTTGCCTAAAATCCTATACGGTATCATAACTGACTCCTGAATGGGGGAAAAGCAGCTCCACTATATCTTAAAATGAAAATGAATAGCAAAATCTTCAGACTGTAATATAATTCCCTAAAAAACCACAACATTCGGAAAAAATGGCATAAGCAAATAATAAAAGAGAAATGCAACAACAAATGTTTTCTGAGTATTCGACAGTAAATTTGTTGTTATCTAGTTGTATAAATAAGATTTAAAATGGCAGTAGTATTCTAATTAAAGTTATCACTCTGTTTAACAAAGCTATTTTAAGTTCTTCAAATTGTATTGGGAAGATCTGACAATACAGTCAGGTTCCAGCATTATAACTGGATTCGGTACACTGAAAAGACAATATTAAATATTTTTGTTTCCCTGAGGTTCGTGTTACCAAGGTCACAGGGATGGTAAGTCACTCTTGTTGTTGTAAATTTAGGAAATATAACTTTCTGTCACAGGAACAAATGAAGAAGTTTCAAAAAGCAAGAGGTACTCGATCAGGTCTGCTATTTTGTGTCAAACTGCTAAAGGCTCTCTTTCAGTTTGTTATGGAGGCTGGACATCTACTTGAGAGGGAAAAAAGATCCAAAGAGCAAAACATCATAAACTCTTTACTGCCCCCTTCCTCCCAAAAAAAAAGCTTGAAAAACATGAGTAGTCAGTAAAACCTTCATTGCTTAAATAGATTAAGTAACTGACAGAAAAAAACGCATTACTAAAGTTTCAAAATAGGCAAAACCTACAATGAGTAACCTAAGTTCTATTGCACTCTTTTGTAACAGAATACAAACTATTTATTTTTGGGAAATTAAAAATTAAAATCAAATTCTAACATTCAGTCTAACTGAGAAATGTAATAATGTTCACCAATTAAATGGATTCAGACATTAACTGCATAAATCAGCAAGCACAAAATCTAGAGAAGTGTTCATTGAAATGTGTCCAGTCCACCATAAAACTTACAAAGGACCTGTATTCCTAATCTTTGCTTAACCAAATAATAAATTCGCTGGCATCACTCCCTTGGAAATACATTGTCCATGCTTGTTTTCAATGAGGGTGTTGCGCATGTAATGCACGGTCATTTTTAAGCAAGCGAATTACACATTTTCTCATTTGAGGTATTACGATTTTCAAACTTGATCAGAATGCTGCACACACAATAAATGGGTTTTACATTTCAAAAACAATTATTGCCTCTTCAAATATGTATCAATCAATTGGTAATTCACATCCTCATTTATACTTAAATCTCTTCCCTAGGTGAAACTTATGTATGTTGTAACCACAACAATGCAAGACATACTGTACTGGTGATCCTACATGCACCCCTAAGTAACCGCCCTTCTATATTCAGCATGGAATATACAGGAGAAGGAGCCTTTGGAAAATGAGCAATAATTTGTATTTTAACAAGAACAGAATACAAAGGTGAAAATCTTACCTCAAGTTTTAATTTCAATAGAAAAAATGCACCATTTTAAGATACAGGCTTTGGAGGTACAGTACTTTCCCAGCAGCAATCCATGTGTCAAAAAGAAAGAAATCACAACAATACCTCCCCAGTTGCTATCCTCTGTCAGGGCTGACAAATCCAGCCTGGGAACCTCAGGCACGGAGCCTTCTTCACATGCATCAGCTTCTTGGTGTCTTTGTGTCTTCGCTGTCTCGCAGCCAGTCTGAATCTCCTGGATCTTCATGGCTGGAGTCTGCAGTGATCAACAACAACAGCAGTTGCACTCTCCTTAAGTTCAGGAATACAGCGTCTCCGCCTGCCCCTGCCTTCCACATCCAACGCAGGGTGACCCCTGAATGCTAATTGGTCACCAGGGCTGGCCAAAACATCCGCCCATCTGTCTTCCTGAGGTTTTTTTTCTCTCCCTGTCTCTGCATATGCTAACAGCCACTATGAGCCCCTTGAGCTGTTTGCTTCAGCAAGCCAGTAGAAAAAAAAAGAGAAAGTGCAGAGGATTACTCCGTGCCTGAAGGCTGCGTGTGACTTTTTTTTTTTGCAGCAAGGCAGCTTCAAGCGTTCCAGCTTGCTTTCTTCCTTATTGTGAAACCCAATGCAGCCTCAGGCTTATGCTCAGTCTCTCACTATGGCACTGCTAAGTAAAAGCTAAGAATATTGGCAGTGTACGCGAATGCATTCATGCACACGGATCAGGCTTATTTCAGTCAGAGCCAGCTATGCTGCATGAACACTTTGTGATTTCCTGTGCTTGTAATGTTCCTGGGCGTGGAACTTGGCTATTTATGGAACAGCCCTGGGTACTACAGGAGGAAACTACATAAATGTAACAGGCAAGAGTACCGCTGTTTTCAGCTGGATCTGGAAGAATATGCACTGGAAGGAAGCCAAGGCAATGAAGCATAAAGTACTACATTTCTACTGAAAAGAGGTGTCGCCCTTGTGTTCCATCTTTTGCCCTGTAATGAGAAGGGACAGCTACTTTTTTGCTGTTGAGCTGTTTTGTTAGCAAAAGCCCACAGAAAATTTCCACTATCCTAGACATTTTCACTTGCACCAGACTCATCCTATTCTAATTGTTAGTGCATTTTTGTAATCTGTGCTGTGTTGGTTTGTTTCTGGCTGTGGTAAACATTTTCAGTTTGCAGAAGCATGTTCTCTCATTTTGATTAATAAGAAATAAGCATACTATGAATAAGCATAATAAAATTACACACTTGATTTTTAAAGAAAGTATCATCTCTTTGACTTTGATTTTTCATTTTTCTAGTCCACCATTTCTGTCTTTCTGTCTGCAAATAAACCCTTTATGCACAGATGCTCAAGTCTAAACAACGTCCTTTTTTATTTTCCAAAACAAAGTACAAAATAAAAGCCTGATGAAAAAAGCCATGTCATTTACCATGCTTTGATATAATTGTGTTTAAATACAGGCTCTAGGGTCTCCAGAGCATAGAAACTTGTTTAGGCAAACACTTGAGAACAACATTATGCTGTATTGAACAGCTTAGGGCAGGGAACGCCTGTAACCCATATACACAATACAATCGCTGGTTTGATAAGATAAGGCAAACAAAAATAAATATCTGTTTCTTTTTTTCTGAATTAACAGAGGACATAATTTAAATACAAAATGATTCTAAACAAGACACCTGCAATACAGTGGAACTGATAGCTCTTAAATGAGGATCATATCACCCCTAACAACGTACTCCAAACACACCATATTACAACACTACACTAAAACATCACTGTTGGGGGCAAGCCAAACAAATAGTCTGTTCTAAAAAAAACACCACAACTCTGCAAGGCACTCCTTGTAAGACATACATACAAATGTATAACCATTTCACTGCTCAAGGCGAGATATGTCATAAGTCTCTTAACGACAAAACCGCCGTATGTGGCTGTCACCTTGGTATGCTCTCTGGCATTGTGAACCAGTCAGAGCTAATTAATACCCTTGAGTTCATTACTTTTTGTCTGCAATAACTTTAAAATAGCATATGACACGTACTGCACAAATGCAGTCTCAGGCAGAAAAACTATAGACCAATGGGGATTTTTATATAACTGATTATGAAACCAGTTCCCTTCTGCCATTAGTGTTGCTGTTCATGAGGTCAGAGAAACCCCCTGTTATCTGGGAATGAAACTGTACAACATAAATCTGTGCAGTATGCAACCCAAATGTTTAAGATGGCATAAAACACTTTTGTTTATATGGACTGAATCTAAACAAGTGTATAAGGAAGGAACTATCCCATTCACCTGCAACAAGACAGACTTACTAAAACTTTTGAATTAACAAACAAGTTGCAAATGAATTCTGACTCTGAATTAGAACATCTGCAGTGTAACTCACATGAGAATATTAGCTACTTTTGACCTATTTTCTACGCTTCAAGTATAATATACACTTAAAGAACATACACCTAAGTAGGAAAGATTGTAGCTTTTTGAAACTATCAATTGATCAAAAAGACCAAAGACTGGACAGACTGAATTATTGCAATGTAATGATGTCCATTACAGGTCAACAAGAGTTGTTCTTCCTTTCAAATCTTTTAATAACTCTGACATCCTCATTGCTTTTGATTTGCTTTTATTGCTGCAAATTCTGAACATTAATCCAAAACAATTTCGGAAAGGCACTTTATCGCAAACACCAAGCATATTGAATAAACTGATACATCCTGTTATATAAAGTTGGAAAGGCTTCAGTCAGATCCTGCAGAAAACATGATTTTATTGGCTGTATATGCTATGTAGATTGATCTTGAAACACACAAGACCGCGGACTCTAGCTCCTCAGTATACAGAGTAAAAAGCACATTCTTTGCAGGATAGTAAAGTATTTTTTTTTTCATTTCTAGCAAATTGTGAAAGTGGAATTGTTTTTTCCACTCATGCATTTTTGAAACTATCTACTGCTTGCATTCTAGCCTGCCATCTTCTTTGTAAATCAACTTATAAGCACTTAAAATAACCATAATGCTTCCCTTCAAAGTCTATCATCCAGGAAAAAAAAACTTTTGTTCCCCACAAAGAAACAACAGAGAAAAAGTAATGGCTTTAACTATGCAGCATAAACTTCAGGAGCACTTTAATTTTATGTAATAAGAGATCTGCCAGGATTCTGATGCTTATTTTCACAATTATGATGCTGTCTACATACATGCTAAACTTAAAGTTATAGCAATATAAACTAAAACCCAATCACATTTAAAAGGCAATGTGCCACACCTTGTCATAAACGTAAACACGATACAGCAAATTTACAGTACATTAAAGAAGCAAACCATTACATAATTTTTTAATGATTTTGTTTTATATATATATACTGTACTACATACATTGAGCTCAAATTCTATTCACTACTGTTGAAGTACAGTATATGCAATCTTTAGGCTTAGTTGAGTGCTATTATAATTATAGCATAATGGTGATTTGCAGCAGCAGACACTGAAAAACATACCATATTACATACAGATGATTCAGCATACTCTAGGGGTGGCCTGTGTAACCTAACACTGGGGATTCACAGGGGGAACAGAATGTTCAGAACAGCTACAGTATAGAATAAGGAGTGTATGGAGATAGAATTGCCGGCTTCCCTTCATCCCCTTTCCAGACAGCATGAGTACTGCAGTACTAATGACACTAGACACTGTGATCTGATCCAGAGAAACAACTTCTGTTATGCACATGTTATGTACACACTATTTTGTTTTCTTTACATCTCCATCTTTACTGACTGAAGCATTCTTGTAATTCCTACAATAAATCAATGTAGCTCAACAAATGATTTTAAATCACTGCAGTAAACCTTATTTCACCTGCCTGCTATTCTAGACCTAAAATCAATAGTGTTGTAAGATGTTGTTCATCAATTTATGTGAGTGTTTATATCTGTCATATTCAAAGCATTTAGTATGTAAAGACTCAAATCAAAAACAATTCTCACTTTGTTTATAATGTAAAACAAAAAATACATAAAATCTTAATTAGATTTAAAAATAGATCAATTTTCATGAAATGGCTAACTGCAACAGTTTACATTGCTGTTTAAAAAACTAAAACACTAACTTCATGCCAGAGAGTTAAACTAACAAAAAAAACTAAAAAAATCTGAATATTTGAATATTTCAAACAAAATTAAAAGAAATAGGAAATTGTCCTATTTTACAGTAACATTAGTGTTCCTGGATGCAGGATAACAATATTGTTGAAATCATTAGAGCTTTCTAGGAAACCCACTTTTTTAGTACTTAAATTTTCTGCATTTGTAATTTTCTGCATATAAAAATATTTGAGGAAAACCACACACAAAATACAGAACTGTTTTGCTTTTTACAAGCATTTTATAATCATTTGATGCTTTTACAAGCACAAAAGCTTTATAAATAGGACAAAATGACTAAAGATTAAATTAAGAATGAAATTACATTTACATCTGTTTTTAAAACACACAAAAATGGAAATAACTTTCATAAGAAGAAATTAACTGGATTGGCCGTTGTTATGTAGTTTATTCTTTTAACATGAAATTCCAGACTTAACTGAGAAACCTACTGTTGAAAAATGACAGGGAAAAACGCACCTTGGGTAACGGTAATGCATCGTCCTCAGTTTGATTGCCCTTTCTTAAAAATGAAAAGAAAGCCCAGTTTTAGAATTCCAGTAACTTTTAAACTTCACATTTAATTTCACTAACATCACATTTCACTAACTATCCTTTGCATTATTATTTAAATCATAAATTTAGCTTAAATTAGCCATTTTTGAATTTATCTCAGGTTTAGCTGATCAGATATGCAAAATATACCATTCTTCTTAAACAGCAGTTGCAACACAATACTGCTATGCTTAAAACAGCAATCTCTCCCTTAGAGATTATCCGATTATCATATTCCTGAAAAGTAACAGTATCTTGGATATACAGTACAGTACCTAAATATTAAAAGAAAGCTGCTCTTGCAAAGATCTTAGAATTCAACTCATAAACATCTTAACACTGCGTGTGTTGCGTTTCTGGTGAACATGTTTTCTTTAAGAATCATAAACGTCCTAGAAAGATAATTTTGACTCATGAAAGCCATTTGTTATTTTAATTAAGAAGCCATTGTTATGAGAAATAATCACGAGTGAATAAGTTTCAAATAAAGCAAAAACAAAACTTTAAAGCTTAAGATACAGTATGCAACACTGGAAGGCTCACCTAATAATTGTTCATTAAATATATTTTTTTCACACAAATGTATTAAATTATTTTTGTAATCCTACCTTTTTTCTTCTACAGACTCCATGTTGCTGGTGCTTGGTTTATCTTGTAGTCTAGATGCTCCAAAGCATTCCTGTATTGAGACAAGTACAGTATTTAGGAAAAGGACAGTATTTGAATGGACAATAAAATGTTCAATAACCTTCAGCATTCATAGCCAGAATACCAAAATACAGACAGTGCCTGGTGTTCATCAACACATGTTTCTACTACATTAAACCAGGTATACAAATATTAATAATTTGAAAAATCAGAATTTCACTTGAAGGTTGGGATGAATAAGATGTGAAAACATCATGTCAATGTGACAACTTTGTATAGGAGGCAGGCCAATTAAACAGAAAAAAATAAATCCACAATACTAATAATCTAAGAATAAAAATATCTAATAAATAAATATCTAATAATCCAAGACGTATTCAAACTCCCAACAAACTTATTTGAACAAATGCCAAATTAAGTGTTTTTCAGAGCTCCTTTCACTTTAAGATAATCAACTTATTAATGCCATTTGTACATATTAAATATTTAATATTTACATTTAATAAATATGTAAGATCATTAATCTTTACAAGTATAGAAAATTAAATCCGCACTGTCATGTCTTTTTGGTACCAGAAAATAAACACATTAAATAACAGGTATTTAACCTTCATTCATTGGCTGCCCCTTGGCATCTTACATTATAGCATGGACAGAAACCAAAAATAAGCAATCAAAATATAAAGGATAAAAATAATTAACAACAGCTCATTGTAAGACTTCTGCAAGAAAGGAAAAAACACAGCAACATATTAACCTAATTTAATTTCATTACATTGTTTTGATGTTTTAGGTCCTTGTCAGATAAAATCAAATGATAGTAATAATAATATATCTTTAAAAACATTTAAAAATGGTTCAGGACCTTTAGAAAAACATTATTTGATAACCTTGCCCGAGCACTTTACATTAAATTGTGAAACATTATTCACTCTCTGAAAATTGGTATTTGTGAACCTGACTTGCCAACAAAAAAAAGCACTCTTGATTCCAGGAACAATGTAAATCTGACCTTACTGCTCTGATTCGAGGCAACATGTAACCTTCACCTTAATGCCACAACTCTTTTTTGTTCCTCTGAAACGTAGATATAGGTTGAACTGTGCTTAACCTCCTAATGGCCTGGAAATAGCTGAGGAAGCATTCCACACAAGGTGTTGCATCAGCAACACCCCTGCCAGCCCACACTAGCTAAATGACTGCCACTGCTGCGCTGACAGACACTGACTGGCTTTTTTAAGACTCCAAGTCTTACATGAGATATTGTACTGAACAACAGCTGTGTTGAACCTATAGGGTGACCTCCACATCTCCACTTTAGGAGAAAATCCATATGTCTAGAGGAACATGGTGAGGATTCAAATTATATAGCAAATACTGCAATACTTAATTAGTTCAACAGTTAAACTACTGTAAATAATAACTTTATATACTGAGAAAACTATGTACGTAATGTCAGTTCTTGTTCTTGTTCAATGCTTGATGGTTAGTGTACTAAAGGTTTCCACCAAACAAGCTCTAAAACAGGTCTCTCAGAACTTTTTTTTTCAAATGGGCTGAAATGGACTAAAAGGCATCAACATGTTTTATAATGGGCAAACAATCACGCTTGAGTGGTTTTGCAAATGGGTACAGTGTTACAAAGGCATGTAATTACCCATCAATTAACTTGATCATAAGCCATGTTGCCAGTAGCACTAGCCTGTGACAATTACAATTATGACTCTTAGGAAACAAAAAGACTACAAGTAGAGAGAAAAACAAAGAAAACAGATTATGTAAGAGAAGAGTTTAAAGCAATAAAATTATTGGCTAATATTTAATTCAAGAGCACAGTAAATTGAAAAATGTGCACACCGCAGCAGTTTCATATCAGCCTGTTCTGCTTGGCTTGCAGAATACTGGGATGCTTACAATGGGGCCATCTTGCTTTTTGGTGAGCGCCAAAAGTTTGGAGTTGAACTTGTGCTTCTTCGGTCTCGTGCACTCCTCAATGGTACCACTGTTTCGCTGCTTCGTTTCTGCATCTTGCAGGGCCTGCTGTCCATCTTCACTGCTGCCGGGCACTGAAGGAATGTTCTCCTTATTGATATCTTCCCTAGAAAATGAAAAAGTGCCCTTTTTCACAAAACAGAATCAAAGAATAGAATTTAAGGCAGATTCGGTACACTTGCAGTTTTATCTGTAAGTGAATCAACAGGTCTTTTTAAAATTTGCAAGATTCAAGCAAACCTGTCTTACGCAATCTTTTTGTGAGGTTAGGTAAATTCTGTTGTCTCAGGTCTCAGTGCCTTATAAGCCTCAGCCTAACATTCATTATGAATTATCCAACAAAATGTGACTTTATAACTTTGAAAACAGACTATAAACTATGTATTCAAAACACTTAGGTGGAGAAATTCTTGTTGTTTCCTAATTAAAATGCCTAACTGATTTGAATATGGGGCCATGTGTTTTTTTCTGAATGTAAATATTTGTTCTTTAATTTTATTTAAATGTTATTACCATTTTATTACCCTACAACCATTTAGTCATTAATAGTATGCAAGTTAGCCTTCTGTCAAGGAAAACAAAAAACCTGTTTGTAAGGAATCAAAAGTCAGACATTGTGCAAACGAATCTTGCCGATCTTACTATGAACATTTCCTACCACAGTAACGACGGATTCCATGCTGGATAACATTTTTTTTAAAACTGGCACTGTCTGACGTCATGAACAAAAACAGCCGATCTCATGGGTTCCAGGATTTCAAAAACATAATTCCCAATCCCATCTTAGCTGCATTAAAACTACATAATTCAGACATCCGGTGTAACAAAATTTTGTTATCGTATAAGAGCAAATGAATGAAAATAAATCACCCCATATTATGCCATTTTATATCCACAGATGGTGCCACAGATCCACAGTCCCCGCCAAGATATTCCAGACAGTGTTTTACCATGGCAAATTTGCTTTTTTAGGCAAAATACCATTTTCAGCATGATGACAGAAATCCTATATTTAATCTCCTCCTGAATTTTTTAATGTGCTTTTAATTATAAAACATTGTGTGCACTGCATGGATTGAAATGAACACAACATTCAAAATAATTTCCTACCAACACATTGTACCATTTTAATATAACATTCCCTGATTTAAATCACACACCTTTAACTTCTGTATAAAGCCTAACATTGTTTGTCTTTTGAATATGATACGTATATAAAATATAAATAAGGTATTTGTGTAGCTTCCTCAAGCTCAGCATTCCCCATCTTAAATTAAAAGCTTATGTTTGTGCTACACTCATGTAACACTCTGCACTTGTCAACAGTAAATGCCTTCCCCTGTGTGTTTGCCCAGTCTTGAATGTTGCTTAAATCTTTTTGATTTCCTATTGGGCACTATCGGAGAACCTGACTGTTGTACTACATATTCCAATAGATACAAAAGACCAATGATATCAATTAAAAAGAGCAGTAGTCCTAATACAGAACCCTGTGGTACTCCACTAATTGTTAAACTTCTTCTTCTAACAGAGCATTTACCCCTCATCTGTATAGTATTTTCCATTCATAACCTACTTTAAAAACCTACCATCTCCAACTTTGTATGACGTACTTTATCAAATGTCTCCTGTGAAAGTTAACATACCATGTAATTTAGATTACACCCTTATCCAAGGAAATGCGCAATACATATATAAAAGAAAATCCCCAGAATCCTTTCTCTGTACAGATGTGTCTCTACTTTAGTTCTAATTATTGTTTCCATAACCTTAAATTGAATAGTTATAAACTGTTAATAGTCATTAACAGTCCATAATGACTTGGTTCAGCTTTGTCATCCTTTTTAAGGATGGGTGTTAAATGAGTAATTTTCCACTCACTGGGTATCACTAGTAAGTGACTGTGTGAACCATTTTGTTAATGGCCTACTGTATGAATATCATAGCAATGGAGCTAGCAGGACACACATAATTTCACAAGTAGATACTTCTTGTTTTTCAGTCTTTATGTACCAAAGACCTGCTAAGACTAGCAGTGTTTTTTCTATTCTCCATCATTCCATTATCACTGATTAGCATGTAACTACCTGTACAGTGGCCTGAATTTGTGCAAGACTGCCTAGGGACACTTATTGATGCCTCTGTAATCTTCGCTGCTGCTAAAATCTTCGCTACCTTCTTTATCCACCTTTATCTTCCCATTAGCCAGCATGCTTCAGAATGCCACAATTATCCTTAAAATAAAATGATCATTTTATTTGGAGTAAGGATCTAGAGGTTTGTTGCTAAAGAAAAGTCAGATATACAGTACAGAGTAATTGAATATCAAACATAGCAGCCTACAGTATATAAAGTGCAGAGCCTATATATTATACACCTATGGCAAAATACCAAGCACAGATATGAAAGACACAAGCACGTCTTTATGGTCTTCTGAATATAGAGGGGTCTTGACACAGACATTTATGCAAAATTACCCGTTTTAAGGCTTGTCAACTTGCCCTGGGCAATCAAAACGTTTGCTGTAAAGTTTTCCAGTCTGTCCAACCTACCTTCTGATCAACTGGACAAGGTTTCATATATTTAGTCACTTCACTACATTTTGGAAGTGTATGTAGTGTATATGTACTGTAGATGTTCTGTAAGAAAAGCCCCTCCTCCTTGTATATGTATTGGTATTGCTTCATTTACACATACCTCAGCCACATACCATCACCGTGTTGTGATGGTATGTGGCTGAGCGGCTGAGAGACCAGAGAAAGAAAAAATACAGGCATTCTCACCAGGCGAAGAGAGTCAGATCTGCTGTGGCTTTTTACCATTCTCCTAATAAAAAGACTCATTAGACAGGCCTTAATGTCTAATCGCTTAGTCAGGTAATTAGACTAATTTAAGGGTAACATTTAGAGCAGGGAGTAGGATCATATTTCTTGCAGTTTAAAAGGGAGAAGCACCAGTAGGTTAAGAGGGAAAAACAGGGCTTTCTCTGTAGGTTGAGATTAGAAGGGAGAAGGGCAGCACAGCTTTCTCATCAGTTAAAAGTTAGGACTACAGGTGAATTCAATGAGGCAAGATGCAGGCAAGTTTAACACCAGGGTCGGTCTCCCTCTGTCCTGGTTTCACGGCTTTCCAGATTTATTAAAGGTTTAAGCAAATATGGTGCAGGTAACATTTAACAAGAGGTTCATGAGTACAGGTACTCCATGCTACCAGGTAAGGGGGATCTGCCACAACTAGTATGTGTTTTTATATATTAAAAACAGTTTATATACAGTATAGCGTACTGCAAATAACATTAAGGGTCTCCAACTCTGGTCCTTAAACCACAATCCATTAACTGTTATAGGTTGCCCTAAATTACTTATTTCTAACAACTGGGAACATTTGTGAGGGATCAATTAAGCATATGACTGGCTTAATTAAACAAATTATGGTGGTTGAGACCTGAAAGGCAGTTAGAGTTTTATTATAAATGATCTCTAAATGCTTTCAAGTTTTAAAAGCTCTCCTGGACCAGGCTTGGAGACCACTGCAAAACAGTATTAAAATTAACACTACAACTGCTACTTGCCTTGCAATCTCGTCTCATCACATCATAACCTGTTCAAAATCCAGTTTTAATAATGTAATTTCTTAAAAGATCAGTTATCTAGTTACAGAATTCACTTTGTTTGGGGAACAAAGTAGTCAATAACACATACTGTACATGAACCTCAAAATAAGAAATTAGTCTGCAACAGCCTTACTGTAAGCAGTTTTTTAGGACATTAGAAAACAGAATGTAAATAAACAAAATGAATTATTTTATCGGTGTTTGGAAATTCACTGGATAATTGAGTTAAGCATAAGCTGCATTCAGAATTGTATGTTTTGCAAAAGAGGTGTACATAAACTAAAAGAGAATTTCTTAAAAATGATTTTGACCTAGTTGTTTTCCTTTTCAACTTGCACAATTACACTGTCCTCAGCTAAATACTGACATTTGCACTTTTTCCCAATCTGCTGCTTCCATCAACTACATTATTTCACACACATCTTCATACAGGACAGTATTCAAACAAAAAGTTCAGTTCTAAATGCAAAACTATGTTTTTTTGCTGTGATGACATAAATCAACAACGCTGCAAAGCAAAACCACATTTCAACATGGGAATCCATGAGTAATCCAGAAAAGTGGTTTGCTACGCTGTTCTGTGTAAACGATTAATTTTAATACTGCTATCTACTATACTGTGTATAATAGGACATTTATAATAATACTTGTATGTATTTTTTTTGTTTAGTTTTGTATGAAGAAAACCATAGAATTGATTAGCATTTGAATGGAGGATAATCAGAAACAAGGCTGTACAATGTAACAGTGAATGCACACCACAGACACTGAAAAACAATGGTAAAAGTAAAAAATGATTTTGCTTGGAAATGCAGTTTTTTTCATGTGACTGGGCTCTTCTGTATAGTGCAGGCTAACTACTGTATTTAAGGACATATCTGGAGTCAAGGGAGTTCAGCTCTAAGCAGGCTCTTCTTCTCTGAAACACAGAAGAGGCTCTCATAGTAAGTGGTCTTACGTGTCTTTGTGTTTCCACACTTCATCCTGTTCCTTCTGATGGCGGCGTCTCTGCCTGGCCGTCACTGCTGTGGAGGTGGAGGACAGCCCTGATTCAGAGTCCTCTGAACTTTGACCTCCACTCCCATGCATATCAAAGAGGTGCTGCTCCACTGCTGACCTGATAGTCTTTTCCAGAAGGCTGAAAACAGAGGGTTATTTTTCAGGAGGCTGCTGTGACTGGTAAATCTGAAACAATAAATTGTCAACTAAGTCACAGAGCAACACTAAAGGGTTTAGTTTGTGGAAATGTGTTTTTTAAAAATCCACTGTTTCATTTTACAAAATGTGCAAACAGACAAAACACGTTACTTCTGTAATGTTTTTCAACAGACATTATATTAGCTTCAAACATGCTATTATTTAGAATATATCTTGTCTAATAAAAGCATATACTAAACTCTTTCACACCAAATACTGCTTTCACTGTGTTAAATTTAAGATTTTTGCAATTCATAAGACTGTAAAAACAAAATTAGCAGATATCAGATATTTAGCAAATAGAAAATTAAGGAATTCTCAATTTTATTAATTTGAAATGCAAGTCCGCTTACTCTTCAGAGCCAGGTTTGCTGTTAACAGAGGACACTTGGGCACTGAAAAGAAAAGCAGAGACAATACTAATTTATTTGACAACTGGAAGCTTAGACAGCAACTGCAGAAAACATCCCATCACTCAGAGTTTCCTGATGTCCTATACAAAGCCAGCTAACCGAATCCACATGTTGGATTAGATTGAGCTCGCTGTCAGCAGCAATTACTCCTCAGGAAACCGTGTGATGGGATCATCACTGCCTCATTCTTCTGTTCTGAGGCTCTCCAAAACATGTAACGGAGAGTTTCCCATGATTCACAGTGCTAACCTTACACTGCACCCCACTAACACATACAGTTCAAACACAATATAGGAGAATTGGAAAAGCAGAATGCTTAGACGTAGCCGAGAATTTCAGTTTGGCTCTTCCTCTCTGTATCAATCTATCTGGGAGCTGTAAGTGGCAGTGCAGCTGTTTTCCTCCTCACTGTGTCTCCATGGGCAATGTAAAGGTGCTGCACAATAAAGTTGTTGGCAGTTTTGCTCTGAGGAAAAAAAAGCCATTTCTCCACAGAAAGAAGAGAAGGGCAATGTAACTTTACAAATGTTCTCCCCGATCCGATCGCCTCCAAGAGCAACATACTGCACTCCTCTTGAATACTAATTACTGTACATCCAGGCACCCTTGTGTTTTTATTTGCATAAAAAGCAATGATTCCAGTCAGATGCAGCAGACATGCTCCTGTGCTGACTGCTCTGGTATATAAAATTCTTTAAAGTTCTTTAAAGCAGATTGTCAGCACCACAAGACACATTAGGCTGCATCCCTACCAATGTTTGGCTTTTTTAGCAAAGTAATGGAATGTAGAGTCAAACCTTGCTTTAGACATAAAATCCCAGATCCTGGTTTTACCAGTATTGTACTCAAAGCACTCAAATGCTATTTTTTTAAATACTCAGTTCATTTTAACACAGCTTACTATTTTTCCAACAAGGCAGTGGAAGCTAGTTGTGACTGTAAATTGTTTCCTTCCCACTTTGAAAGTACTTATGTTCAAAGACCTAAAGTGTGACAGATAAACCATTAAATTTATTACACAAATTCAGGTCCGGTTGAATCACCAAAGATAGAGGTCTGAGCTGTGCATTCAAACCCCCTTTCAATTACCCGTTCTTCTGAATTGCTGCAACAATTTAAATTAAACTTGGCAGACTTCAGCTACAACCAAAGCTTTGTAATGTTTCCATCTGAAAAGTTTCTACACCCACAGAAGGTCATTACATGTTTGGTGAAGCATGGCCTGGTAACTCTAGTAACTCTTCTATAAAAATGTTGGTTTGGTCAATTAACTCCAACTTGGTAGGTATCATCACGATGACACAACAAATACAATACAGCAAAACAGGGTTCCTTTTTCAAACAGGACAGCAGCCTAAAAGCCACTTGTTCTTTTGTCGATACATATCCTGAACTGCTCTTGAGAAAATAAAACCCTTTCACCAATTAATTCGAAACATAGGAGGTATCATTTTAGCTTAATAAATGTGATGTGTTGAAGTGGGGTTTCAGTTTAAAACATGCTGACTGCCTGACCATCATTCTGTTCTGAAAATTCACCTCAGAATCACACCTCACAGGTTCTAGCCAAAATGCATCCGGTAACACAAATTGGCCAATTAACTAAATTTAGTATGGTCAAATTTCTCTTGCATACAAATCAAGAGCAAAACTGCCATGAAAAAAACAGACAGATTCTAATTTAGAATACTCAGATTATTTATCATTTGTATTATAAGTTAAGTGTTTGTCGAGGTAGTCTCTGGCTCCCCCACGACCCTGAAGTGGTTAGAAAATGGATGGATAGGTGGGGTGGATAATAATTAAAGTAGGTTTGGCAAAAGGAAAGATCATAGAGGTACTTAATGAAACACTAATGACTGAACAACACAAACTCATAATTTCTTTAATTATTAACTTTGCTGATTCTGATACCTCTGAAGAAAAGTTGGGCACCCATGATTTAAGGTCCTTATTCACTGGTAGTATTCTGAAAAATAGTTTTCCACACTGTACTGCTCCAACTGGATCAGAGTTTTACAGCTCCTGTACAGACACAGAAATCAGTGATGGTCTCTCCTGTGTTCCTGTTTAGCCTGTTTAGCCACTACAAACAGCCTAGACTATTTATGTTGAAATTGAATAATGTTATTATTAAACATGCTGACATTGGTGCCCATATTGTAAATCTCAAAGCATTACATTAATATAAAAAATAATGAGATACATACAATGGTCAATTTTTAATTTGCTACTCTTTCTCTGAAATGTCCTTCAGTTATTTCAAGGTAAAAAAGTGAAAAAAGTCTGGGGTTCCTGTCACAAATAACACAAAAAAACACTTGCTTATTTCATTGCAACCAAGTTCAATCATCCCTGGACTAAGCAATACCTTACACCTGTTTGCAGAATCAGTGAAGGGATCACTGACAAACTCAACGCAAATCTGATCGTTCTTGCCTTAATGTTGTCTGCTATAGAAGACATGGTTGTCCAGATACAAGCTCTCAATACCTTCCTTAACTACACAGCAATAACCTCGACTTGAACATAAATAAAGCGAAAGAGCTTATAGTGGACTTTCGGAGACACAGGCCACACACTCACAGCCCACTCAGTATTGATAGAACGGAAGTGGAAACAGTCACCAGCTTTAGGTTGGGAATTCACATTTCTAAAGATCTAACCTGGACTGTGAACACTGACTCTATCTTGAAGAAGGCTCAGCAGCACCTTTATTTCTTGAGCTTCCTCAAGCGATGGGGGATGCCAGTACCTGTGGTGGTGAACTTCTACCGCTGCACCATCAAGAGCATCCTCACCAACAGGATCACCGTGTGGTACAGGAACACCTCTTCTCGAGAAAGAAAGGCACTGCAGAGAATGGTCAATATGGCCCAGAAGGTCATCGGCTGTGGTCTCACCAAGATTAACCAGCTCTATTTATTAATTTACAGTATGTATCTTTTTCATAATTACAAGAGGACTGCTGCCAAGGTAGAATTCTGGCCATCACAGAGGACAGTTACCACCCCGGGCATGAGCTCTTCACCCCACTGCTCTCAGGCAAGAGATACAAGAGCATACGGACACTTACCACCAGATTCCTCAATAGCCTTTATCCACAAGCAGTGCGATTGGCGAACATGCCCCTCGGACCACACCTATACTATCTACCTCATTATGATTTATTTTTTATTTATTGCACATCTCCAGTCATTGTTTACATGTCTGCATTGTTTACATTCAAACTGCTTACTGTTTACTTGTACATTGTCTACTGTTTGTTTGTATATTGTCTTGATGCACTGTCTTTGCCCTTGTTTTAACAATCGAGAGACTTTCTGTAAGTAAGAATTCCATTGTACCAGTACATGTACTGGTTACATTTGGCAATAAAGTTCAAGTTCAAGTTAAAATAATTATTGTATAGACAGAATTTGTTCTTTACTTAAACTATAAACAGATATGTGTACATTAAACTCAGAGCTTAGGGTACCAAAGTGTCACAAAACAGGCTCCTGTAATCACAAGAGTGTACTCTAGTGACAGAGCAGAGTGTGCAGTGAGCAGAACTTTCTGTACCTATTCCACAACTGCAATCTGCGTGTTGCAAATGAAGTTACTCAGAGCAAGATCAGCTTGGTACGATCATATCCTGTGCTCTCAGAAGTTATGTGGCAAATTTCCAGACCTCTCTCTTGATGTATCAAGAAGAAACTGCAAACAGGATTATCATTCTTTTACCCTCTGGTAAACAACCCTCAGGACACCTTCCCTAACATTGCTGAGTTTGACATACAGTACTAAGTGTGAGGTAAGGAAAACTGGTTGCTGGAAAAAAAGAACTAAACCACTACCAAAGAAATGACAAATGCAGTGCATTGGAATCCTACATTCAGAAAACATACAGTACAGGGACAGAATAACAAGGCCATATAATAAATAACCTTTAGAAAATGAAACCTCTGCCACAGAACAATTTCTGAAGTGTACAGGGACTGGATCTCATCAAACATTTCCAAGTATTAACACCTGTATACAATTAAAAAATTCCTATTGACCTTATGTACAATACTGTACAATCTAGGGATATTGGTTAACCTAACCAGCCCCTCTGGGAGGGTGCAGGAAACAACAGCACTACCACTACACTCTACTGTGTTGCCCATATCTCAAATGTATTTAACATGTGGTTTCAAGTTTCAAAGCACAGTTACTAACTTTTTATTTTTACCTAAAAAGAATAAGAAACAAATATATTCCAAACTAGTGTGACACAGTGGTGCAGTGTTTAGTATTGCTTCCTCGCCACACTGAGGCCCTGGGTTCACATCCAGACCTGGGATGCTATCTATCTGGAGTTTTTATGTTCCCTCTGTGATTATATATGAGTTTCCTACAGGTGAACAGTTCAAAAACATACTGGTGGGTTAGTTGGCTTCTTGGAAAATGGGCCCTGGGTGTGTGCCCTGTGATGGACTGGCGTCCCATCCAGGGTGTGTCCTGCCTTACTTGGCAGGATAGGCTCTGGCTCCCCTTTGACTGAATTAAAGGAAGATTAGAAAATGGATGGATAGATGGATTCGAAACTAAATACTGTATATAGTCTATAAAATTCTAATCTTGAAAAAGATACATACTGTAAATTAATAAATTGGTTTTACTCATCAGTGGTCAGGCCAGTAACCAGACAAGGTCCTCAATAAGCAGATACCGACTCGCTGCTGGTATTATCCCTATAGAATGTAAGATTAACACTGCCTTGCATAAAACTGAACTCAACATCAAAAGTATTTACCTCACTTATAAGTTGCAGGGTCCTGTTTAATCAGACGAGTGCCCTCTGACATATTTTAAGTGTTGGTGAATATTAATCTAAATAATAATACCAAACTTAAACGTCAGATGTTGCAGAATCATACATCTACAATATGAACTCACATCTCAATATTTAACAAAATATATTTTAAGAAAAATCTTCTACGGAAAGTAATGTGGTACACTCACTTGGGTTGTTCTGCACAGCTGTGTAACTGTGAAATGGCCAAATGTTTGGATCACAGTGTAACTCCACAAACTGTTCCCTCCTGCCACTTGATTCTTCATCATGTTTTTAGAAGCAAAACACTGCTTAAAAATATAAAAGAATAATACCTCGTCGCTCCTGTCAGTTCTGCTAAAATCATAGAAACCAACTATGCAAAACTACTTTTGAATCTTGAATTTTGACTGCAACAATAATATGGGGTTTTACCGACTGAATCATAGTCACTTTTTGCAATGGATTGCATTTTTAAAACGCTGTTTTACAGAGAGCTAATAAATTGGTGCTTCGGATGTAAACTACAGTATGTTTTAACTTGTAAATACTGGACCATTGGAAGCAGGATTTCCATCGGCAACTTACAAATGAGAACAGACTGCTGTTGTGTTTGGCCTGTTATACTTGTGGCGATTTCTTCCCATCCCCCCTGAACCAAAGGTTACTGACCTTCCGCTGGGTTAGAAGTGTGTATGTGACAAAGAGAGGGTAGGCAGCTTTTTGTTTAACAGCAGGTTTCAGAAGAACAGGACATAGCAATCTAGAGTGCATAGATGAACATACAAAGTATGTTATCACAATGAATATAGAACGCCTTTAGTTTTGCACCTTTGCCAAGATATCAAGTTTTAAAAAGAAAATATGTAACAAAGCTTACTTCTACACTGAAAAAGTAAAAAAAAGCATGGGCTTTGGAGTCTTCTATCATTATGTGCACAGAAAAGCTCAATTGCCAGAATGTTTTCTTTACTTTCAGTATGAAATCTACTGTAAAATTACTCTAAACTGCATGGTGTTTATGTGGTCAAAGCATTTAAATGGCCTAAAATCAGATATACTATGGGGGGTACTATGAAAATGTTAAAAGAAACATTTGCATTTTTGATGTAAGTTGTACTAGATGCGAGCATAATATGTGAATTTGATTTTGACTGTCTTTTGTTTCTTGGCTTTACTGCTTACTGGCTCTGTTGTACACAGTCTTTTATTTTTGCACAATATTGTTTTGCCATTAGTCTGACAGATGTAGGTGTTGATGTTTCAGCTCAACCAAAATTTGCACAGCAAATCATCTTGCCTTAAGGGACCCTGAGCTTCCAAGGCAACTTGCAAATGTTGAAGCCAGAGTGTACAGCCTTTTCCTGAGGCTCACAATCTCCCTTGTATCGCTGAAAGAAACAAATTCCCCTTGAGATAAATGTCAATGTCAACTATGAACTGTAAAGACTGGCTAATCCAAAGATGCATTTTCTTTCTGTATTCTGTCTTCATTCTGAAACAAAAACACAGGTAATACTGCACCACTCTTTAATATCTTAGCAAAAATAAACAGCTAAAGTGAAATACAAATGTTCAATTTGAAAACATATAATGTGTTATACCTCGGTAGAAGTAGTTCAGAGTGTACACATCACATCATGATCACATCACTTTAAATTACCGCTTAACCAATTCAGGGATACAGTGGCAGCACTAGGCACGAGACGGGATACATCCTGGACAGGATGGCAGGCCTTCACAGAGCACACAGGCACAAACACTCACACCAGGGCCAATTTTACCACAAGGCAATTGCCTACCAGCATGTCTTTGGACCTTTGGAGGAAAATGGAGGCCTAAAGCAAACCCATGCAAACACGAGGAGAACATACTTCACACAGACAGCAAACCGAGAACTGAACCCGGGGCACCAGCGCTGCAAGGCAACAATGCTAACCACTGCATCACTGTACTGCCCTAGAGTGTAAAACAAATACTGTTCTTTTCCATGCGATAACTGAAGGAAGCTGTACACAGATTGGCAAATATGTCACTTTGAACTACTTTGAAAATGCTGGAAGCCAATGTACTGTAGATTCCAATTTAACTCTGCTATATAGTCAAAGGCATTGAATTTAAGTCCATCTATATTACGTACAAATTGTATAACGCAGCAGTAGGGCATCATTTAGAATATTATATACAATTTGGGTCACCACATTATAGAAAATATATTCCTGCTCTGGCATCAGTGCAGAAAAGAGCAACCGGATACATTCCAGGGCTTAAGGGAATGTCCTACACTGAGGCTGAAGCAATAGAGCTTTTTTATTCTTGAAAAGAGAAGATTACCAGGGGGCCTGATACAAGATTTCAAAACCTTCAAAGGCACTGGCAAAGACAACACAGCAGATATTTTCAGAGGTAAAGAAAAGATCACGTAACACAACTGGAAAGTATGAGGAAGTGCATTTAAAACAAACAACATGGGGCACTCAGTCTGGAACAAGTTACCTAGCCATGAAATTAAAGCCATTACCCTTTCTTTTTTCAAGAAACATCTCCAGCAGATCCATGCATCAATTACAGCAACTACTAGCTACCAAGTGTTTGTTAGACTATTTCCATTTTTTTATCTTGGGGAAAAAAGGGGGATTTGTTTTTAAGGACATATAAGTTTATTTTTAAAGAGCTACTGTGGTAATAAAGAACTGTATCACTCAAATACTTGCATCTAGGTGGATACTGCACATTGGTGGTGTTGGTGGAGGGGATCCCCATTACTTGTGTGGAGTGTCCAGAAACTTGCTATACAAGTGTAAGCAATTATTATTATTATTATTATTATTATTAATCATTCCAGCATATGCTCCTGTCAGAAAACATGCAGAACATTGATACGATACTATGCATGATCTGAAGAGTTGACAAGCAGTATTTGTCGGCAAAACAGTCTCAAAATCAAGAGTAATATTTCTATCTGATTAGAAGAGACGTGTTCACAAGCTGGCTTGTTTACAATGTAATAAGGCCGTTCCACATCTCCGGAGGTTTGGTTGCCTTGTTCTAAATCACTGCGAGTTCCTGAAAATTAGTCTATTTTGTCAAACAGAGGTTTTACATATCAGTGTGCACATTTTACTTTCACTGTGGTTTGAAATGTACTCATCGATGCTGATTCTTTCTAACCCCAAAATCTAAAAATAGCACAGCAGTGCCCCTTTAAGGTAAGATACTTTTGAAGAGTATAACAAATTATTGACATACCTCATATAAAATGGAGATATCGGTCTGTCATCTTCTTTTGAGCTGAAATACAAAATTTAGCAGCATTCAAATTCAGCACAACAGTATTGTACAGGGTTTTGACGATATTCTCCTTTTACACATAGCACCTCAATGATATAAGCGTGTTTTAGGAACATTAAAAATGTAAAAATCTTATGTGACGTTTCAATCATTTCATTTGGGGACGCTCTTTAGTGTTAAAAATAATCAATTTTAGACTATACTTCAGAGGCAGTGGCAAAAAGTGGACTTGTGCCAACTAAACATGATGAATTAGGCAAGAATAAAGAACCTCACTATCTAGGTTGCTTAACTTCCCACATCCTGATGCAAACAAAGAGCAACAATTTCCAAATTAGACCCCTTTCATTCTGAAGGTTTTCATTACTCACCAGCACATGCATTGTCCTGCAATGTGAGCCGAACAATAAAAAACAGTGCTGTGCTATGATTAAAGGGTGTAACAGTAAAAGAAAACAAACAGAACTTACTCTATTGTATAGGCTGTAATCGTTTGATATCAATATCAGGGGTACAAACCATAAAATCTTTATATTATGATTATTTAAAGGACAATACAAATAAAAACTCTGTACTTTAAGATTAGAGGCATCAGCAATTGAACTCAATGTTGAGATGTTCAGAACACAGAGCCAGAGGTAGGATATTTTTTGTAATATTGTTAAGATATGATTTTAGTTACGGTATACTCTGAGGCGGATAAAATTGGTATCTACCCCCATTTCCAATGAACATAACCAGTAATTTTTAAGTTTTTCAACATATAAATCCAATAATAAGAAGGTGCATACTAATAAAAACTGTCACTTAATTTTTCGGATATAATCAGGAATTGTGATACAACAGCTTGATAAGGCTCTGTACTGTAACTATGATATTCATAATTAGTACATAAATAAAACTGCAAGTAGTGACAGAATAAAGTGAATCTCATACACTAGATAATATATACTCAATGGAGGTAGTATTTTATTAAGTGGATTTCAACATTATGTTTTTGCAACAAGTACAGCAAAAAGCATATTATCTAGTTTAAGTTAAAAAACATCTGAATAAAGTGAAATAGTTACAGTTCTCCACTAATAAGAAATATGCTGATCAAGATACTCTTTATAAAAGAATCATATGAAAAGGTTTTGAGATTAAAGCAACAAGCTCATTTCCAACTGGAGTAATTCCCATTTAATCCTGTATCAAATGCATTGACGTTTTTCCTGTTATGTTTTGCAAAGACCTAAAAAGAAAAGTTAATAGGATAATAAAGGCCTACAAAACTTTTACTACAGTATTCACCAATTAAGCAGCTTCATTGGCACTAAACATTTCTTATTTCCTTGCATAGCTTTATCAAATATATTTCTAAAAGTACTCCTTTGCATTTAATTTTTGCAATAAGTCAAACAATTACCATTCATTAATGGTTCAGCAATTGGTCATCAGTGGTTAAGATGAATAAAATAAAATGAAATGCTTGGCATTTAACTTTCACCACACCTGAAGAAGGCTTCACAGCAAAAATGTTATGTTTTTTTTTTCTTTCTAGCAATTTCAGCAGAAAATTTACCTCTGCTCGTTCCTTTGCATCTTACACTCTGACAGAGTTCTCTACTAAAACCACATTGCTATTAGTTCATTATTAATGCAAAAGTTTCTAACTTGCCAACCATAGTTATCTTAGGGAACTCTGAGTCTGTTTACATGACACAAGCAAGTTATATTTTAGGCTTGATGGTAGAGAGACATTAAAAGGTTTGCCACTTTTGTTATATAGCTTGGTTCTGTTAACAGTTATCACTGACATACTATACCTGCTTTAGAGAATAATTAGAAGCAACAGCAGGTTTTTCAGAGCCAGGCAGCTAAATCCTGGATATTCTGTCTTGATTTTAATAAAGACCACTGCCATTTTCACTGCAATGAGCTTATCTTCTTGAAAACCTGGAAATGTCCTCACCGGTGATTAAAAAGGGTTCACTGAAGTGAAAGACCCTTCTTGGAAAATCTTTGCCGGAGAATATTTGCAGCTCTTCTCTTAATAACCAGCAAACGCCTGTATAAAGGAAGAAACTGCTTGTGATCGAACCGATTGGGTTGCACTGCGATTTAAACATATGAAAATCCGGTTCACTGGCTAAAAGTCCCAAGATATCATTTACCACAGGAGATGATTAACTAGCCAGAAATGTTATTGTGAACAACACAATGGGTAGATTTGCATTCTGGTGCCACCTCTTTAACTCCAGCTATGAAGTTTTACAATTACAGCAGCTGTCCTGTCAGTACATATACTGTACTTCCACACAGAACTTCCAGTGGAGTCTGTATCACATGTACTCACCCAAACCTCATAATTCTTCTACTGAAGGCCTCTTAAGCAGTGAAAGCACACAATAAATCTTTATTTGGGTCCTCATCAAAAACATAATGTACATGTACTCTGCTGCTTCAAAAACTTCAATAGCAAACCACAAAGATCACAAACCACAAAGATGGCAAACATTATGTGAGAAGGTGAATGGTCTACATTACTAACTATGGATTCTTCCAATTTCTCACGACAGTTATCTCTAATGGTGAGTAGAATCATCTCTTCTCCAATCATAACAACATCTTTAGCTTTTATAAAATCAGTAGGACAGCCAGTACAATCTGCTTTAAAGCAGTTGATTTCTTCAAATAAGCCCCCATTTTGTTTAAAAATATCAAATTTCCATTTCGTTTTTTTTTCTAGGTGTCTATGAAGAGGTTTTGGAGAGGCTGCAGTGCCAGGAGGGTGAATCCATACAGTACTTCACACAGTACATGATGTGTCATACAGTACTTGTGCTTGAAACTGAATTTTGTCCTTTCTATGTTAACTACTCTTCAGGTTTCACAATCATTTCTGTTGTCCATTTTCTTGGCCATGCCTAGTCTCATAACACAGGTTTTCAGAAATATCCTTTACAAAAAAGGAATCCAAGGAACCTTTTATGGATATTGTGGAGGTGTTGCAGAAACAGTTTTTTGTTGGCTACAGTTGAGATCAAAACATAATATTTAAGTAGTATACATTCAGTGATGCAGCATTAATACAAAACTAAAAAATTATAACAGTGTATTTAAAAAAAACTAGAGCTTTTTTCCCTGTGTCTTGACAAACTTCATAATACCTGCTGATGCGAAATAGCACCATAATACAATGGAACAAGTAATAGGTTTATTCCATGCTGAAAAAAAAAGAAGAAAGAGAACACCACGTTTCGGCCATGGAGCCTTCTTCAGGTGTGGCTATAATACAATGTAACCATAATACAATGCTTCATAGTAGGGATGATGCTGACTTAGTGATGCTTTGAAGTTGATTCGCACTAGATGTAACACTGTGCATTTAGACTAAAAGGTTCCCATTTTGTCTCATCTGACCAGAAAAACCTTTTGACATGTTTAAAGTTTTTCTGAAGTTTTTCTGAAATGTATTTCGGATTTGAGATGGTTTTTGTTCAGTTCCATACCAATTTGTGGAGTGACATGGATTTTACTTAGTGCCATTTTCTCATGACTAAGCCATTGCACTCTGTAGCTCTTCCAAAGTCACTCTGACCTCACAATGATAATCCTAACCAGGTTTCCTCCTTGTCCAGCTGCTTAGTTTGGATGGACAGCCTGATCGAGTCAGTTTCTGGGTGCCTTCTACAGTACCTCTTAAAGAGCACATTCACTGTGCTTAAAGAAGTATGCGTTGTCTTATTTTTGATACCCTTGTGCTGATATGTGCATTTCCACAACTTCATCCCTGAGGTGTATTGAAAGCGACTTGGTCTTCATGGTTGAATCTTTCCTTGAAAAGGTCCCCTTGAGGGACCAGAGACAGTCATATTTATTCCAAAACCATGTACACATAGAGTCCATTAAATATATGATTTGTTAAAGCAATTTATAGCAAAGGGATTGGATAACGCAAGGCACTGTATATAAAGCTCAGATTTAAATTATTCATAAATATCAAAGCACCCAAGATTCTAAATGTGGTACACAATAACTGCTCATTTCTGTAAATGCCTCTGTAAATGCATTGAATGTTACAGCAATGTAGGTGTATTATGAAAGCAAAAACAACCACATTATTTTATCTTGGAAAAACAAAATTAACAAACATTAACCAGTTTATTAACTAATACATTATAAATACCATTAAAATTAATATATATATATATGGTAACCTGCTTATTAGTAAATTTACCATAATCAATTTCATACATAGATTATCAGAAAGCTGCTTATTTCTAAGAGTTGACCACCCTCAACCTATCCATGAAGCAAAAGACACAAGACATGAGAAGGCCCTGATTGGGACACCAACTTATAGCTCTGCACACGTGTACAACACAAAGGGGCAGTTCGGAAACAGCAATTAACCCAGCCTGCATGTATCATGGATGTCAGAAAGGATGAACCGTGGAATGGCAGGTTAGCCTGGGCTCAGCTGTTCAGGAATAGAAACCTATGCCCTCAGGTAGCGGACGTGGGGCGACCTGGTGCTAGGTGGGTTTCAGGAAATCCGAACCTCGCTGCTGAGCGAGGAGCAGAGCAGAAGCAGGACGTAAAATAGGCTACACAACAAGACACACCAGAAAGACATGAATAATCACAGGAAACTAGGAACAGGAGAGAAGCAGAGTGCCCTCTAGGTGTACTGGGCATGAGAGCCCCCGTCTGGATTTGAACTGAAGACCCAATTAGTGTGAGGCAGCAGCTGTAATTGCCATACCGATTTTACAAAATAGAACTATAATTGTAGAAACATGTCCACAACACTTCCATCCATCCATCTACAGTATACCCTTTCTAACCACTTTATCCAGTACAGGCTCATGGAGGAGTCGGAGCCTATCCTGGTAAGTACTGGGCGAAAGGCGGGGTACACCCTTGATGAGACGCCAATCCATCACAGGGCACACAGACATGCACACACTCACACCTGGGACAATTTTCCTAGAAACTAATTCATCTATCAGTAT